ACAGATTTGTTATTAAATATACAAATTTTTGTAGTAGACGCTTATAGTACAATGTTAGTTGTTAATTTACTGTGCAATATATTAACCTTACACGTTTGGTGTTACATTTCATTGATATATGTTAACTCATTGATATATGTTAACTTTCACAATTGGATGTTATGTTTCACAAATAAGTGTTAACTTTTACTGTTAGATGTTAACTTTATAAATTATTTCATATTTCCTCCAATGTATTATATTTACCTAAAATGTGATGATATTAATGTATAGGTATGAGCACATAGTAAAGGAAACAAATCCAGGAAGCTGCATTTGCATTAAAAAGAATAAAGAAAGGTTCACAAGATTATTCGTATGTTATGCTGCTTGCATCATTGGTTTCTTAAATGGATATAAACCCCTATTGTTTTTGGATGAGACCTTTTTGAAAGATAGATACAAATGCATGCTCCTCAGTACCATAGCATACAACAGTGACTAAGCGATATTTCTACTAGCTTATTGCATATACGATCAGGAAAATATAGCTAATTGGAGGTGGTTCTTATAAGGTTTGTGGTCCATACTGTATGAAGATCAGATCCATATAATTCTCTCCACTAATTGCTAATAATTTCTGATGCTGACAAGGAAATTTGAGAAGCCATGAAAGAATATTTTCTTGAAGCAATTCACTCAAGAAGTGTTTTACACCTGGTTGAAAATTTTAGGAAAAAGCTAAAGGATTTGGGAATGAAGTCAAAGGACACACAAGTGTTGGAAAATTTGCTCCAATTTACATGTCATAAATACACTAAAGTGGAATGGAATGATTATATGAAAGAAATTTATGAGATATCTCTAGCTACATATGACATTGCAATTAATTATTCTCCAGATCAGTATGCAAATGCATTCTTCTTTGGAATTTGATACTACCATCAATCATTATGATATTTTGCAGTAGATGTTAATTTTCAAACATGTATAGTAATTTTTAAGCATATATGTTAATTATCAGCGGTACATGTTAACTTAACTGTGTATGCGTGCAGTTTTAGTGGTATAACTTAGCTTTCACTAACTGCTAGGTTTTATAGCTACTTGTTAATGTTTTTATATATTGTAAGAAGTAAACTTATACAAGTTATCATTTTTATGTTTGCAGATATTGTAATAATCTATTTTTAGATGCAAATCAATTAATTTGGAAGCTCACATGATGTAGGGATTGGAAAAAAAAACAAGTTTCTTAAAGGCCTAACCTAGCAAGTCATAAATATACAAACTCTACTTTTCCCTTGGCTTTCTCTTACGATGAGATCTGCAAGATTATTTTGGAAACTATCTCCCATGTTTAACAAAAATTTGTTTAAACTGATTTGTTTCTAACAAAAAAAACCCATCCTAGAAAAATCTCTAATAACATAACCACTTTATCTCTTTAAAATCTCTACCCATCCCCTCTACCCTTTTTCTTCACGGTACTTTCAAAAGAAAAAAAAGAAAACAGAAAAAAGAGAGAAAGAAAGGAAGGAGAAGGGAAGCAGCAACTACAATTGAGAGGAAAAAAAGGAATTACTTGCTTGGATTTAGCTTTAGGAGTTTTTCTCGAATTTCGGCAAGCATATATTTCCCCAATTTTTTTCTCTAATTTTTTTCCTCATGCAAGCATAATATTTCCCTTTTACTCTTTTAACTTTTATGTCGCTATCTATTGCTACTATAAAATTCTTGCATAGCCATGAAATTTCTTGTTACTTTATGAATTAAGGGGTAAAGTGTATGATTTAGTCTGTTAGATATTTCATGCCAAGACTTATTGCATGAATTCTTATTTATTTATTTATTTAGTTTTTTTGTTATATCTTCGATATGGATTAAATGCTTACCATTATGGATCCTTGGTCTCTATATACTAATAGTGTTTTTACTTTTGCTTAAATTGTTAGTAGATATATTCATATATACTAAAGGCAGACTGTCATGAAAATTCCCTTGGCATGGTGGTTAGTTGACTTGCATATTATGTTCTTAGTCATGAGTTTGAATCCTATGACCCTTCTTTTTATGCCAAATTCGTGTTCGGGTCTGTTTTGAAGTCAAACCCGACCCGGTCAGGATCCATTATTAGCAATTAGACCCGTTTGGGTCTATAACTCAAATTACAGACCCAATTGGGCCCTTAATACACAACTACTACTTTTTGGATCTTTAGGTTATCAAGCGAAAACTGTTTGACCATTTTTTGTTATTTATTTATTTTTCCTTTTTGTTTAGATGAATGAGGATAGGTTTAATCACTTGATGACGTGTTTAATCATATGATAATGTTTGATCCTATAGTGATACTAAATAGGGCTGACTGTGCATGAAGACAACTTTCGTTAAAAATATGATTTATAAGCATGCTATCATAGCATGGCTACACCCTCGACATCGATACCGGGTGTGAGGAATTCTCTTGATTATTATTATAATACATTAGCATCGACTAGATTTGTAATGACCGTAAATTTCTAATACGGGTTTAAATAATTTTCTGGTATTTAAATATTAAATATTATTTTTCTAAAAGAGTATTTGTATTTTTCCCAATTTCTCTAGAATTTTCTACGATTTAAAAATACGATATTATGTTATTTTAATAAGTTTTGCTAATTATAAATTTAATTGTTTTGGTAAAAATTTTAAATAAATAGTTAATTATTCATCATTGTTATTGTTATTATTATTTTAACCATAAATTTTAATATTTATTTGGAATAAATTTTATGATATTTTTAAATTATTTAAGGGGGTATTTTTCCCTGTGTTTTTCCTCTCACCGGTGTTCACTCTATATACCTCTCCCCAATTCACGCAAACCCCTCCGCCTCGTGTTTTCCCCCAGCTCTCAACTCACGTCCTCCCAACCACCCTATCCCGCACAATCTCTCTCATTAAATTCTTCCGCCGTCTTTCTCTCTCTCCAATCCCACACTCAATCTATCTCTCTCTGACACTCTCTCTCAATATTATTCTCTCTCCTTATTTTAAGGGGCTGTTTGGTTCGTTTCCTAGATATAGGGAAATGTAATTCCATGTAAAGAAACCAATGTTTTTAGTTTTCCAAACTTTTCCAAGAAATAGTTTGTTTTGGTTTGGTTCGCACAAAAAAATGGTGAGAAACCAATGTTTTTACTTTTCTTGTGTTTGGTTTGCATGAGAAAAAAGGGAAAACTTTTGTTGATTTGACATTTCCCACTTTTCTTGTGTTTGGTTGGTTTTGAAGTGTGTAGGGAAAAGTGTTTAGAGTCACCATGGTAAGATTACCCCCCACTATAGACAAAAATTATTTGTGCTAGTTATGAGATGTAATCTTAATCATATAAAAGTGCGAATGTATCGTGAACAAATAATAATAACCCGAATGAATTATAAATTTCTGTTTGTATTAATGAAATCATACGAAACCTGAAATCATCTGAAACCTACTGTAACATGAATTGCGTACCTGATTTGACATGAAATATACATGTTTGAGATGAAAATAATCACACAAAACCTGTTTTCCAAGAAAAAATAAACAAGCCCTGTAATAACCTGATTATTCATAAATTTATGAAATACGTACCTGAATTAGCCCAAAAAAATTCTGAAACATATAAAAACATATAAACGGCCTGAATAGCCATATTTTAGTATATAACATAGCAAATAGCCATCCAATATATGTGAATTATGACTGTGGGCTCAGAACTTGTTCAATATCATCATCGTTAGCCATCCAGTGCAATATCAATAGATATTGCAGGTTGCTAATCTCAGAAAAATTAACAATCATCATAGCCTAAATTGAACACCCACAAACAGTATCATAATCAACAAACAGTGCGGAAAATCTGGCACACATAGAACTCCACAAAACATTAGCTCAAATAGAAGTTGAACAACAGAGCATCCACAAACAGTGAGCTCACAAAACTGGTGTGCACAAAACTGGAAATTGTCACAAACCTGGACACAACAACAAACCCAAAAACCAACCTGGAAGGAAATCACAAACCCAACAACAAACAAGAACTTCTTTTAGCAACCTGGAATGAAATCACCAACCCAACAACCAAAAACAGAAGGAACAACATAGAGAACACCATATCAGCAACAACAAGAAACCACAAACCCAACAACGTAGAGATCAACCAACAACCAGCAACAACAAGAAACCACAAACCCAACAACCAAACTAACCAACAACCAGCAACAACAAGAAACCACAAACCCAACAACAAGATCAACCAACAACTAGCAACAACAAACCCAAAAAACCACCAACCAGCAACAACCAGCAAAAACCAGCAACAACCAAACTAACCAGCAACAACCAAACTAGCAACAACCAGCAACAACCAACAACAACCAGACCAGACCAACAACAACCAGATCAGAACAACCAGCAACAACCAACAACAACAACAACCACCACCAACAACAACCAACAACAACAACTACCAACAACCCCAAGCACATGTTGTGTTTAGCTTAGGGCTCAGAACTTGGTCAATATCATCATTGTTAGCCATCCAATGTAATATCAATAGATATTGCAGGTTGCTAATCTCAGAAAAATTAACAATCATCATAGTCTAAAAATAAAAAAATCACCAACGAAAACCAAATACCTAAATGCCCCAGAGCAATAGCCATCCACTATCGCCTTGATGCAATGACTGAGGGGGTTGAGAGTGTGGAGGCTGAGATGGCACTACACCCTTGCCTTTAGGAGTATCAGCCATCACTAATTAAGTCAATAAGAACAAATTGAGTACATGGAAGATATTACAAAGCAAAATATAATAACATGAATACATGACTGATATTGCAAAGCAAAATATAAGAACATGAATACATGATTGATATTGCAAAGCAAAATATAAGAACATGACTACATGAATGAAAAGCAAAATCTAAAAAGTGGACAAACCATCAAATTGTCACTACATACATGAGCATAAATAGTACAACAAATATGAGAATTAAGTCTCAGTAGTTACACCATGATTATACTTATCACAATACTCCACCCACATCGCCCAAGCAATGTTATCTCTAAGGGTCTTCCACTCATTTCTTGATTCAGTTTGTTCTCTTTGAGTTTGAGTCTGAGTAAAATCAACTAAATTATTATCATTCTCATTTGTCACCTCACCATCAATATCTTCATCAATTTCGGACTCGCTGAGTAGTTCATCGATTGGGTCAACAGTTGCGATGAAATTATGAAGTATCGTGCATGCCAATACGATATCTACTTGTGTAGGAAATGGATAATGCGGCTTAGCACACAAAATCTTAAAACGATTCTTCAATGTGCCAAATGCAGATTCAATCTTAGACCGCAAAGAAGAATGTCTTAAATTGAATAATTCCCTTCTATTCTTAGGTGTTTTACCCGAATGTTCTTTCAAATGATATCGAACACCACGGTATGGAGATATGAAACCTGGCATGGTAGGGTACCCAGCATCACACAGATAGTATTTGCCTACAATTTTATTAAAACAATTGTTAAAGAAGTCAATTTTGCATATTAAATTTAACATAGTATAAGTTAAAATTTTATATAATTACCATCATAGACTTTCAATCCATGTGGCTGTGGTCTAGATAATGCATCTTGGAGAATCCTAAAATCATTTGCAGACCCCTCCCAACCTGCTAAGACATATGTGAACAATTTGTCTGGGGTGCAAGCTGCAAGCACGTTCTGTGTAACACCTTTGCGGCCTCGAAATCGTGCAACAAGATTAATCGGAAGCATTGCATCAACATGAGTCCCATCTATCATACCAATGCAATCCTATAATACGTGTATCACATTACTAAGTTATCATTTATTTTTATTGCTTATACATGTAACTGTGGTTAAAATGTAGATATACCTTGAAATAAGGATAGTATAGCTGGTTGTTAACGATCTCTTGGGGAGTATCATTGATGGCTTGTCTCATGTAGCGTCCACGCAAACAGATAATTGCTTGTAAAACCTTGTTGAAATATCTACTGACTGTCTCCCCTGATCTTATGAAATGAGATCTCACAATGCGATTTTTAGATTTATGACCCAAAATATTTAGTGTCATGATAAGTTGTTCTTCCACTGATATATTCCTTGAGTCTTTTAGAAGCCTATTGTTCCTCATTATACTTACTAGCTTAACAAAAGCACCACTCCGCATTCTAATATAATTCACACAACTATCACTAAAACCATTATAAATACGCTCTATATGTTCAATTCTAGACCTCTCTTGTCTTTTTTTTTCCTCACTTGGACCACGACGTATAGATTTACGTCTAGCTTGCATTCTCCTTATGAATGTAATTATTATAACAAGAACATATAGTGCTGCACCTTGAACCACATTAACAACACTTTGTTCATCGGTACAATCCCCATCACCATCCATCTACGATGCAAAAATCAAATTGAAATAATTAATATACCTACCAAGCATTCATATGCAATGTCAATAATCAAAACTTAAATGACACATAACAAGATCTAAAGTTAATTTTCAGTTAATATTTCATCAATATTTTCAGTTTCTTTTACGACCATTCAAGATAATTGTCAGTTCATTTCTGTTCTCTTTTCAATTATATTTATAATAATTAATATAATTTTTACTTAATTATAATAATATTTGAAGGAATATTTTTAGTTAATTACAATTATATTTTTAGATAAATTTCTGTTAATTTCTAGATAACTATAGAAAATGCAAAATTTCATCCTAAATAATTCAAATCATACAAAATTTTTAACAAATCAATTCTGAGTTGAGAATCATACCTTAGGTCTGAAATCAGTTTCCAGGAAGATCAAAGTCGGCAAAAAATCCCAAATTTTTTCTAATAAAGGCGCTGATAAAATCCAGCAAGCCACGAAATCCAGCAAAAAACCCCAAATTTTAGCAAAATCCAGCAAAACACCAACAAATAGGAGCTCCCGCAAGCCACGAGAACTTAGCTTCGGACAAAATCAACAGTTTAGAACCCCCGCAAGCCACAAGGCGCTGATAAAATCCAGCAAGCCACGAAATCCAGCAAAAACCCCCCAAAAATTTTAGCAAGAATTCCTGTGCAAAATTACCAACAAATAGGAGGCTCCCGCAAGCCACCGAGTCCAAGATCGGCGACAAAATCAAAAGGTTAGAACCCCCGCAAGCACGAAGAGAACCCCCTGCAAGCACGAGAGAAGACGAACCCAAGGCGCGGAAGAGTGAAAATAAAAGCGAAGAAAGTAGGAGGTGACCCTAGCCCTCAACCGGTGTTTTTTTCCCCCCATTTACCCGCAGATCTGACAATAGCTACAGATCGGGGGGCGATTTCCTCTCGTTTCGAAGAAAAATGGGGCCGAAGAAAAAAGCTCCGATTGGAGGGAGATTTCCGCGGCTTGAGGGACGAGGGGGAGAGCCGAACCAAAGATGGGGAAACGAAACCCTAGAATGTTGTTTTGCTCGATGGTGGAGCGGCGTGTCAGGAGGACGAAAAGTGTTTCTACGGGCGTTTTAAAGCCCGAACCAAAAACCAGCCCCCTAATCCAACAAAATCTCTCACTCAATCATCTCACCCATGACCTACTGCCTCTTCATTCCCAAGAACCCAACAGAGCAATCTCTCTCTCTCTCTCTCTTCCTCTTCTCTCTCTCTCTCATTTTCTCACTCTCCATCTCTCTCTCCGCCCTCATCATCTGCTTCTTCACTCTCTTCTCTCCTCTTTTAAAAACCAAAGAAAACCCCCTCTGTCTTCCTCTCTCCTTCTCTCTCGTTCGACGAAAACCGCCCCCACGAACCGCCACACGAGCGACCGAACTCACCTTTCCGACCCACCGGACCGTTCGAGGCCCTGCGCCCACCCCCAAACCCGCCGATGCGAGCTCCCTCCAGCCTGGACCGCTGACCAGCGTCGCCTGGCAGCCGACTGCTACAACCCCGACGACGCCCAGCGCCTTCAACCATGGCCAACAGCACCGACAACCACGACCGGTCCTCCGCCTGCCGTCGATCCAGTCATCCCCGCCAGTCGCCCCGTCCTCGAGCTCGAGCTCAGTCTCCCCTCCGCGCCAGCGACCACCAGCCCCATCGTCGTCCTCCTCCCATCCTCAATCCACCGTCAACCTGTTGGTCTTCTTGTTTTGATGATGATTTACAAACAATTTACTACTAATGTTGTTTGTCTAGTGTTTTTGCATTCCTATGTATTGTAGACAAACAACGTAGTTGGAGGATGGATGGATTGCACTTCAACGATCATATCCAAAGGAGGTTGGTGGAATGTCGGTGAAGCCTATGCAATTCAAGTTAAAGATCAAGTTCAAGCTTCATCCGCAAATATATCAAGTCAAGCCTATTGAAGATTAAGATCAAGCTTTGGTATATTTAGTTTAGGTTTTATATTATGTGTGTTAGATACTCTAAGCTCAATATCATATACACACACGTATTTGGTTTCTAAGCTCAAATATTGTATTCTCAGTTTATAGACTTAACAATCATCATATACATTGTTTTAGATTTTGATGTTTATATATACATACACGTATTTGGTTTCTAAGCTCAAATATCGTATTCTCAGTTTATAGTCTTAACAATTATCATATACATATTTTATCAAGTCTATATAATCATTGTGCAAAGTTTCAAAATATTGTTTATGTCAAAACATCAAACTTCATGTATATCACTTTTTCATGTTTTGAACACTTTTGCAAAATAATGAGATTTCACAATTGGGAAATGCAAATTGGAAAATTCTTTTTGTAACATGTTCAAAATATCATTTGCAAACATTTCTCAAAGTTTCATCAAGTTTGGAATTGATTTGTTATGTTAAAGGAATTTACAAATTCACGTTTTCGTTCGTGCACATGTTCGTGCATGTTTTACAAAACTGATGAGTTTTCACAAATGAGAAGTGATATTTGAAAAATTCTTTCTTTTACAAGTTTATCTACATGTTTAGAAACTTTCAACCAGTTTTTACTATTTTTGGAGTTGATTTACTGTGCCTAATTTATTTTACAAAATCGTATATCACAGCAGATTTTCAGAAACTGTATTTCTGTGTTAAAATATTTATTTCTCTCAACTGGGAAATTATTTTTCATAAATTCTTTCTCTAACATGTTTTTATACACGTCTAGAACCTCCCCTCAAAATTTCATAATTTATGGAACTGTTTTATTATTTTTAACTGATTTTATAAAATCAGATATACTTGCTACAGTACCGCCGGTCGACCGATTTTTCCGCCGGTCGACCGACGAACTGTCTGGAACTTTTCTCCGCTGCTTTCTTTGCTCGCGGTCGACCGCGATTTTCCTCGGTCGACCGCTGCAGTTCTAACGGCTCTTTTTAGAGCCGTTGCAGAATGGTTTTTTGGTCATTTTGTTTGGGTTTTTGGGTGAGGTCTTGGAGGCTATAAAAACCCTCTTTGATCTCAGTTTTCATGCAAGCAAGAAATGTTTTAAAGAGTTTTAATCAAGGGTTTAAGTTGGTTTAAGTGTGTTTATAAGCTTTTAAGCATTTGAGTGTTTCGGTTTGGTGAATCTGTTTTACAAGAGCATGAGGAGATTATCAATTACATTTTGGGCATTCAATCCATCTCTCTCTTGTCATCTAGAGAAGTTTTCCTAAACTTAACTCTAGCTTTTATGTATTAATTATTTGTTAATTATCATATCTATTAAAGCTAGTTTTATATTGAGTTTAGATTTGATTTCACTCATTGTTACACACACCCACTTTGAGCTTATTGTATTTGCATTCATAATATATTAGGGTTGTGAGAGTTGTAGCATTGAGTGTGAGCTTTTACTGTGTTCTCATCCATATTAGAGAACAATTTTATATTTGTTACATTGTGAGATTGTTAGGTTTTCGGTGAGCTAGAAACCGAGTGTGGTGTGAAAGTTTTCGGTGAACTAGAAAACCGATTGTGAGGAGTGACGTTGATCGGTGAGCGTTGAAAACCGATACTGTGAGGTGTAAACGTTGTTCGGGTGAACGTAGAAAACCCGGTTGTGATAGTGGATTTCTCCCCGGGAGTGGGGAGCGGAGACGTAGGACGGAAGGTCCGAACTCCGTGATCATATCGTGTGTTTGTGATTGCATTGGCGTTCTTATTCTTGTTTTCATATCTTATATCGCCTTTGTGTATTGCTCATCATATTACCCTATCACTTGTGTAGATTGTTTATTTTACCCTTGTGTTGTTTATATATCCTTGCATATATACATATTCATCATATAGGATATATCTCTTTGTTGTTCATATTACTTATCCTAGCTCATATACATTGTTGTATTTCATACTTGCTAGGATAACTTGTTAATAAGTTTTAATTGGCATTTAATCGGATTAGATTAGCATAAGACCCTAATCACCCCCCCTCTAGGGTCTAACAATTGGTATCAGAGCTTGGTGCTCTTTGATTTAAGGTCTAATCGCCTTGAGTTAAAGATCCAAGTTATCTTTTTGTGCTAATCTTGTTTTGATTGCATTTGTATCTTGCTTGCACATTTTTACAAATTATGGATATGAATGATGCATCTTGTTTAGGCTATGATTCTAGTGTTGCTCCTAGATTAGACAATTTCCCCTATGCCCAATGGTGTGTTAGATTTAAACTATTTGTTAGATCTAAACATTTTGATTTATGGGAAATTATAGATGATGCTTATATTGTGCCCATTTTGGAGAAATCCAAGTGGAATAAAAATGATCATCGCATGTTTACTATGAACAACATTTTGTTAGA